GAACGCTATGAAGCCCAGGCAGCAGGAGTTCATGAAGAGGGTGTTGAACAGGGACCAGACGACGTGGTCCGGCACGGAGGACTCACTTCGGATGTGGATCACGGCTGAGTTCACACCGTGCTCCTCCTTGACCATGTGTCAGGTTTTGGGGAGGCTGCTGTGTGTCAGTGAAGAAGGCTTGGCAAGTGTGGTTCCTGATCGCTGACGTGGCCGTCTGTGGAGTGACGTGGTTCCTGATCGCTGACGTGGCCGTCTGTGGAGTGACGTGGTTCCTGATCGCTGACGTGGCCGTCTGTGGAGTGACGTGGTTCCTCATCGCTGACGTGGCCCTCTGTGGAGTGACGTGGTTCCTGATCGCTGACGTGGCCCTCTGTGGAGTGACGTGGTTCCTCATCGCTGACGTGGCCCTCTGTGGAGTGACGTGGTTCCTGATCGCTGATGTGGCCATCTGTGGAGTGATGTCAGACTCTGGGTACCGTCCCTTGCAGGTCTTTGCTGTGGTGTCAGACACTTGCCCCCTGGACTCAGGGCTTGTGCTTTCTTAGAAGTTCTTGTTTCCTGCTGTTTGGAAATTCGAGAATTTGTGTGAGGTCTGGGGTAGGCAACACATTTCTGAACGTGAGGTTATACACTCAGTGCAGGTGAAGCACCGTGGGGTCAGGGGCCTTCTATCCAGGGGCCCCATCAGGGCAAGTGCCACATGACCCCAACTTCCTTCTGCAGGGGTCAGAGGCCTCTGTGAACTTTACTAGGCCTGAGAGTCCACTCCTCTTACGCCTGGAGCTCAGGACCTCACTGTCTTGGCCAGGGTCCTTGCCAGGCCCCCGATGGGGACTGCACACTCCAGGCTCCTCAAGCCCTCACCGCTCACAGACCCCCAGTGAGGAAACCTTCCCTTTCCCGGGCTGCAGTTCTGCTCTATGTGGGTTCGGAGGCGGAAACCTCCAAGTGTCTCCTGGTGCAGGTCAGAGGCCCGGCGGCCAGCGCTGCCTGCCCCAAAGCAGCCCCCCAGGCCCAGCACAGGACGCTGGGGAGCACTGACTGAAGAGGAGGCTGACACAGGGAAGGTTCCAGTGCCTGTGGGGGCAGCTTCAGTGCTCAGGGCCGACATGTGTGACCCCCTCCTTCTTCCTTCCTGGGCCCCTTTGTTTTATAAGATGCCACAGAGATCAAGGGAACATGAGGGGCAAGGGGGTTTCCTGGACTCAGGGCCACACCCATGGGGCCTGGGGAGGGCTGTAGGGCCCCATGGGCCAAGAGCTTCCTGCGACTACAGCACTTCCTTCTTCCTGCCTCAGTGCCCGTGGACAGGGGTGCCATCTGAGCAGGGCAAGGTGAGGCCACTGCATCAGGGCCCCTGTGGCATCTGGCCAAAGACAACATGCTGAAAAGTTTTCTTGAAAAATTCTCAATGAGAACTCAGCTTCAGAGAGGCCCCCACACCTTCCACGAGGAAGTGGGAGTCACGTGAGACTGGACGGGGTCCCCGTCTCCAGCTCTTCCTAGGTGGGGCTCCTGTTTCCCTGCTCTGCTCTCGAAGGTCCCCAGGGTCCAGTCCCCACCTCGCCATATCCTGGAGCTTGTCCAGGCTGCCAGAGACCTGCCCCTGTGCTGTCTCAGCCTGGACTCAGGTGGCCAGGGTCTCCTCTGCATCCAGCTCCTGTGGGGCCTCTGGCCTGGCTGCCCTCCGAGGCAGTCTCTGTGACCACCCAGCCCTTGGAACAGGGCCAGTTCCATTCTCGAAGTGCTGTGAATGCAAAGCTCATGCTGGATTGTGAAGATTTAGTGAGATAAAAAATGTCTTCATAAAATGTCAATATTTCATCAATAGTATTTTTTGTTGATTATATGTTGAGATAGTATTTTGGATATATTTGTTTAAATAAAATAGATTGCTGGCCAGGCATGGTGGCTCACTCCTGTAATCCCAGCACTGGGAGGCCAAGGCAGGAGGATCACTTGAGGCCAGGAGGTGGAGGCTGCAGTGAGCCGAGATCGCACCCCCGCACTCCAGCACAGATGACAGAGACCCTGTCTCTAAAAACAATTAAGTAAAATTAAATCAGTACAAAAGAATTTTAAATTAAAATAAAGAAGATGTTAAAACAAATATCACCATTTCCTTTTGCTTTTTTAGAAATGTTGGTACTGGGGGCTGGGCGCAGTGACTCACGCCTGTAATCCCAGCACTTTGGGAGGCCAAGGCAGGCAGATTACCTGAGGTCAGGAGTTGGAGACCAGCCTGGCCAGCATGGTAAAACCCTGGCTCTGCTAAAAATACAAAACTTAGCCGGGCATGGTGGTGGGCGCCTGTAATCTCAGCTACTCGGGAGGCCGAGGCAGGAGACTCGCTTGAACCTGGGAGGCGGAGGCTGCAGTGAGCCGAGATTGCACCATTGCGCTCCAGCCTGGGCGACAGAGCGAGACTCCGTCTCAAAAACAAAAAACAAAAAACCAGGAAATGCTGGCACTGGGAGATTTAGAACTGAGCGTGAAGGGCACACCCTCCACACCCGCACCCTGAGTACCTTCCACCGGCAGCATCACGGGGGAGCGCCGTGTGTCCAGAGGTGGGGGTCTCGGCCTGGAGAGCTGCCCCCACAAGTCACCTAGGACGCCGGCTTCCGCTCAGGGTCTCACTTCTTTCTTGAATTAGGGCTGGGTCTGCTGGCCACAAGGGAGCTGCATATTTGAGGCTTGGGTCCTTTCACAAATACGCCTCATGGCACAGGGCAGGTCTCTGTGCAGAGGGCAGCAGGGGCGGCGGGGGCTCGGGGCCACCAGCCCCGTGTGGGCGCTCCAGGTGGCTTCCCCGACCCCTTCAGACACGGTAACTTCGGAAGGCAGCATTGGTACCTGACCTCTTGGGAGTCTGAGGACTTTTTCTAATGGACGTTTTGCAAGGACAGGCTCATTATCAGAGACATAAGAACAAGCTGGTCATCATTACGAAGACAAATGTTCTGATTGCTCAGGGAATTAATCTTGGTATTTCTGTGAACCTACTCAATTAACACCCAACCGAAACCGATTTTTTAAAATGTATCTAGGGTATCGAAAAACATCTCTTCTTCCCAAGTGAAGAAAATAATGTATACAGTGGTCCATTTCCGAGACAAAGTGCTTCAAATGAACGTGAGTCAGCAAACTACAGAAGAAGCAGGACACAAGACAGGCCCCTGCGTGGACAGCGATGCCTGCTCCTC